GAACTCTGAGCTATTTATCTTATCTTCATAGGTTCTTAGATGTATCAGTGTACCTCTAAATCAATATTCTAAAACCTCAGTATACAGTGATAAAAATTCTGCACTTAAACTGTTGTGTAACTGCAGAATGACTTTGAAAGAAGTTTGACAAGAATATATCTAATCTTATCCCATTGAAAAGCTCGACATGAATATCTAATTGATATTGATACTAACATTTCTAAGTTCATGCCTAGAAAAGTTAAATGCTATCCAATTGGGATCTACTGTTAATATTAAGATTTCCTATGACTCATAAATCAGCTCTGTTCAAGGATTTTAAATATTTGGAAGCAAACATTTTAAAATATCTTTGCCAAATTAACCCTTAGATGGGGGCTCCTGAGATAAGAATCACATGGTCCCTATCCCCTTTCCTATAGTTTTACCTGTTAGAAAATGATTGAAAACAAGTCATTTGGTCTGTTCTTGTGGGTTATGACCAACCTAGATAGCATATTAAAAAGCAGAGACATTACTTTGTCAACAAAGGTCCATCTAGTCAAGGCTATGGTTTTTCCAGTGGTCATGTATGGATGTGAGAGTTGGACTATAAAGAAAGCTGAGCGCAGAAGAATTGATGCTTTTGAACTGTGGCATTGGAGAAGACTCTTGAGAGTCCCTTGGACCGCAAGGAGACCCAACCAGTCCATCCTAAGAAATCAGTCCTGGGTGTTCATTGGAAGGACTGATGTTGAAGCTGAACTTCAATACTTTGGCCATCTAATGCGAAGAGCTGGCTCATTTGGAAAGATCTTGATGCTGGGAAAGATTGAGGGCAGGAGGAGAAGGGGATGACAGAGAAATGAGATCGTTGGATGGCAGTACTGACTCAATGGACATGGGTTTGGGTGGACTCCGGGAGTTGGTGATAGACAGGGAGGCCTGGCATGCTGTGGCTCATGGGGTCGCAAAGAGTCAGACAGGACTGAGTGACTGAACTGTGGGTACAAATTATTCCCTGATTATTCAGAAATATTAATGAAAGGGATAAAGAGGAGGGAAAAAAAGGCAAAAAAAAGAAGTACAGAATTATGTTTAGGAGAGAATAAGGCGGTAAAATGTGACCCAATTGGAAAAATTCATACTCTTGCATTTTTGCCTACCCCTGACCCCATTTAGAACTGTTTGTATTAAAGGTTCAAATAGTTTTAAATAGTTGGAAGGTCTTCTTTTATGCTGAATATACCTGGGTGAAAAATCTGTTGGCAAGCCTTACCATTCCCCAACTTTGGATGTAATCCCATGCCTTCTCTCATTGTCTTTTCTCCTTCCTTCCCTGCTAATCAAGATCCTTGTTCTCTTCCTTCCTCCCTAATAGATTTTCAAAAGCTTAACTTCTTTAAAATATTCCTAAGAAGGTCTTCCTATGCTGTAGCTCCTCACTCCTTTCTAAAGTCACTAAGAATTCTATGGTTCTGGTGGAATGTGTATCATATTCTCTATGGCTATAACACTCCTATTTAAGAAAACTCTACGTGGATGTATCCCTATACCCATAACTAAATGACAGACTTCATGAAAATGAGGGCTGAATTTCTTAGTGTACTTTTCCCAACCAAGAATAAGAGAGTGAACATTCAGTTTGTTCTATCTCAAATTATAGTTATTATTACCAAGGTAAGAGCTAAGAGGATACAGACTTCTTGAGGGCAGAGAGTTCAGCTATTACTGAGTAGATAGTTCAATACACATTGACCTGGACCAAATGCCTACTCCCACTGTATTGTTCTATAAAATGCAAAATTATACAGTTTTGAGATATTGGACTGACCCTTTACCCTCCCCAGCTTCTTGACATGTTCTTTAAAAAACAGGTAGAATAAGATATACTTTCTCTTTTAAAAGAAACTGGAGAAAATATGGTCCATTTTGTTAAGAATTTTTATGGAGCAAGACCTGTTATGTAATTATAATGGAGATGGGGCAGAACCATATCTTCCTGTACTTACATTTAGATAAGTATTTATATTCATTGATATATACTTCTATGTCAATATTTATAAAATATTTAGAGATTTACATTTTATATTTAGACAACTGATGACCAAATGAGGTACAAGTATTATTGTATTTAAAGTGTGGTTTAAAATAAAAACTTGAAAATCTGCCAATTTTGTGATCCCTTTGGTTGTTTCTTCATTTTATAATATACCAAAAGCCTCACAAAATGGAAGTAGCCTGGGAGTTTCTAAGTCCTGAGAGGCTATTCATGGTGCTATTATACACATCTAGGACTAAAGAATACATAACTAATGAAAATGGCATTTTCCATATGAAGTGATGAAAGTTAAAAGTATATATTTTATTATAAAACACTTGATCACTGTAACCATGAACAAAATTTGAGCTTTAAAACCTTTCAAGGGACTCACATTTATTTTCCTCCTGTTTCCAAGCCCTCAACAATCCTTCTACTGTGTGTTGTATTTGCTAAAAAGGGAAATTTCTGTGGAATTAAGCAAATAGGGGATTCAATATTCTTCGCAGATAATTTTGGCATGTTCCATTGAGAACTTCTAGTCTGAATTTTCGTCCTTCCTTAGAAAAGACACACATGTTCCAAATCCTGTCTTTTCTCTGTTACTGAAGATCTACTATATACAGAATTAATGACAGTGTACATTTAGCAAGACACTCAGCTGAAAATGTTACCATTAAAATAAAAGAAGGCAAACTATGTGGGAATGCAATTTAAATATAGTAAATTAAAACTAGCACTAAAAATCCTATAAAAAGCATCACAATAGTGGATTTTCTCATTTTGCTAAAATTGAAAAAAAAAAAAAAGAAACAAATCTCTGAGATGGAGAATTAGAAAATATCTTTAGTTCATAATATATTTATTTTCCAAGAAAATCGGTGGTACTGCTTTTGGTGACAACAAAAACCTCATGTTTAATCCCTAATTAATTGCCGACATCTGTTGGATAATAGAAAAAGCAAGAAAATTCCAGAGAAACATCTACTTCTGCTTGATTGACTATGCTAAAGCCTTTGTGTGGATCACAACAAACTGTGGAAAATTCTTAGAGATAGGAATAACAGAGCACCCTACCTGTCTCCTGAGAAACCTATATGCAGGTCAAGAAGAAACAGTTAGAACCAGACATGGAACAATGGAGTGGAACACTTTCACTTTTCATGTCAAGGCCATATATTGTCACCCTGCTTATTTAACCTACACGCAGAGTGCATCATGGGAAATGCTGAGCTGGATGAATCACTAAGCTAGAATCAAGATTGCTGGGAGAAATATCAATAACCTCAGATACAAAGATGACACCACATATTGGCAGAAAACAAAGAGGAATTAAAAGAGCCTCTTGATGAAGCTGAAAGAGAAGAGTGAAAAAACTGGCTTAAAACTCAACATTCAGAAAACTAAGATCATCGCATCCAGTCCCATCACTTCATGGGGAAACAATGGAAACAGTGACAGACTTTATTTTCTTGGACTCCAATATCACTGTGGACAGTGTCTGCAGCCATGAAATCAAAAGATGCTTGCTCTCTGGAAGAAAAGCAATGAAAAACCTAGACAGTGTATTAAAAAGCAGAGACATAATAATTTGCCGACAAAGGTCTGTATAGTCAAAGCTATGGTTTCTCTAGTAGTCATGTATGAATGTGAGAACTGGACAATAAAAAAAAAAGGCTGAGTGCCGAAGAATTGATGCCTTTGAACTGTGGTGCTGGAGAAGACTCTTGAAAATCCCTTGGACAGCAAGGAGATGACACTAGTCAATCCTAACGGAAATCAACCCTGAATATTCATTGGAAGGGACTGATGCTGAAGCTGAAGCTCCAATTCTTTGGCCACCTGATGTGAAGATCTAACTCACTGGAAAAGACCCTAATGCTGGGAAAGATTGAAGGCAAAAGGAGAAGGGGATGACAGAGGATGAGATGGTTTGATGGCCTCACTGACTCAATCGACATGAGTGTGAGCAACTCTGAGAGATAGTGAAGGACAGGGAAGTCTGGCGTGCTGCAGTTCATGGGGTTGCAAAAAGTCAGACACCACTGAACGACTGAACAAAAACCTTTTGAAATCCATAAATTTTGTTTAATGGTTTTCCTAAATTTACAAAATAACTATAATTCTTCTCTTAACCTTGGCTTTATATTTTTCATTCTATAAAATGCTGTTGCTGTTTCTCCTTCTGTGTACATGTTAGTTTAGCCCTACAACCTTAAAGAGCCTATATCTCTTTTCTACCACTGGTGGTTTTAACTGCGTGTCTACATATGGGATGTTGCTCAATGGAGGGTGAAACAGTGTAGTTGGGGAGGGTGAAGCCACAGGTAAGGAGGATGTCTCAAGGGACCTTAGAACTAACTAACGTGCAGAAATCAAACTCACATCTCTTGAGTCTCCTGCATTGGCAGGCAGGTTCTTTACCCTAGCACCACCTAATCTTTGGGCTTCCCAAAGGATGCATATAATAAATAAATAAATAAATAAATAAAAGGATGGCATAGAAAATGACAATGTACTTGATTAGTAATTTCTATTTCAGTTAGGAAAAAAAAAAATTATTTCCATGGAACTCCACCTCCAGATCTCTACAACAAGCTAGTAAGTGATGACAGCTAGTCAAAGCTCTATCAACAGTTCATATTTATATCCTTGAGGTGAAACCATCCTATTTCAACAAATATCACTTTTTCATTGAATTCCACATTAGTGAATGATGAATACAAGATGTTTTTTTAACACTCTGGCTGCTGGCTTGACGCATTTTGCTAGCAAAATACACAGGAACTGCCAAGATGGGAGAGTAGCCTTTCCTAAATCCCTCCAAGTGTCACCATGATGACAGCATATTTCCTAAACTGGTGGGTGTTCATATAAGAAGATATAAATCCATTCAAGTGCTCGACTCATGCTGTATTGAGGTTTTATAATTTATCAAAAATTTTGCCTTTATGTATGTGAATTATTTTTCTATTCACAGGATTAAGGCAAAATGACAACTGCTCGATTTTATTGCCAATACTGCATGGCGTCACTTCTTGGGAAGAAGTATGTACTAAAGGATGACAATCCATACTGTGTTTCTTGTTACAATCGTATCTTTTCTAACTATTGTGAGGAGTGCAAAGAACCAATTGAATCGGGTTCCAAGGTAGGTTCAGTTCACAGAATTATTGCATATGATCAGCAGAAAAATGCATTGGGATGCCTCTTTTTCTTTAATAATCTAATGCTCTGCTACTAGATAAAAGGATTTTCAAAGCTATCATCAATCAAGTTGATGTTCAAGGCACTATGCTTAGCACTGTGAAACATAACACACGCTTTAATCCTTACAGTGATCTTAGGAGACAGCTTAGGACGCTAAAGATTAAAGAAGTTATTTGACCAAAGTTACACAGCTAAAATGTTTTTTCTAGAATGACAAGAGTATAAATGACTAACTATATAAACATTGAAAGTATAAAGATTCAAAAACCTTTATTTCCTAACTTTGAATCAGTTTCATCTTCATTAAAGACATTGTGCCCTGACACCTCTCATACATATAGCCCATTCCTACCAGAATGCATATTGTTGTATATTTTCTCTCTTTTTTTTAATCTTTGCTTTAGTTAAGTAGTGTTGAGATTTTGTTTACTTAAACAGTAATAGGATGTTATCTAAAAATAAAAATCATCTCAGGAAATTGGAAGAAATAGGAGAGTCCCCTTATTTTCCATCTGTCTTTGGAGACCAACCAAGGAAGCCCCAGGCTCTAGCTCTTAATTGCCACAGAGTCTCCTCTCTCCAGGTAGTAGTATCAATAACATCATGCCCTCAAGCTACCAGGATAACCTACTAGCACCAGAGCCCCAGAGTGTTTAGTACTGTCTTACAAAATGGCCTGTTTGATCACAAACGCATTTAATTAACTTTTATTCACTGTCTCGAAGGATCTTTGTTACAAAGGCCGTCACTGGCATGAAGGATGCTTTAATTGCACCAAATGCAATCACTCTTTGGTGGAAAAGCCTTTTGCTGCCAAGGATGAGCGGCTGCTGTGCTCGGAATGCTATTCTAACGAGTGCTCTTCCAAGTGCTTTCACTGCAAGAAGACCATCATGCCTGGTAAGACCTCAAGGCCTTCTGGTCTGTAACTGAAGCTACAATGCTTTCAATTAAACCCAAGCACAGGAAGAGTGTAGTGCATCAGTACCCCCATTTTGGAAGGTTTCACTTTTCATGGTTGTAGTTACCCAAGGTCAAAAATGTTAAGTCTGAAAATATTAACCGGAAAATACCAGCAGTAGAGTTCCTTAAGTTTTCCATTGTGTACTGTTCTGAGTAGTGTGATGAAACCCCTCTGCGCCTGTTCCATGACATGAATCATCTCTTTGTCCAGAACATCCTGGCCAGTAGTCACTTAATAGCCATCTCAGTTACCAGATCAGACTGTTGCTGTATCACAGCGCTTGTGTTCAAGAAACCTTTATTTTAGTTAGTAATGGCCGCAAAGTACAATAGTAGTGATGCTGGCAATTCAGGTATGCCGAAAAAAGCCATAAAGTGCTTCCTTTAAATGAAAAGACAGTTTCTTGACTTAATAAGGAAATAAATTGCATGCTGAGGTTACTAAGATCTAATGTAAGAACAAATTCCCCATCCATGAAATCATGAAGAAGGAAAAAGAAATTTATGCTGGTTTTGCTGTCATGCCTCAAACTGCAAAAGTTACAGCCACAGTGCATGTAAGTACTTAGATAAGATGGAAAAGGCACTAAATTCGTACAGCAAGATATCTTCAGAGAGAGAGACCACATTCACATCATGTTTATTACAGTATATTGTTATAATTGTTCTATTTTATTGTTATTAATCTCTTACAATACCTAATTTATAAACTTTAACATAGGTCTGTATGTATAGGGGAAAAAACACGGTGTACACACACACAAGATTTGGTATTATCTGCAGTGTCACACATCCACTGGGGATCTTGGGATGCATCCCCCACAGATAAAGGGGACTATTACACAAAGCCCTGCTTTTCAGAAAGACATCTTTCTATCTCTTTATCTCATTTAGTGTGCTTTAGAAATGAAAAGATTATACTTTCTGTTTCCAGTGGGCAAAGTGTACTGTCTTTTATATATTGTCATAAACATAATTCATAGAAACATTTTGAACCAGAAACTGAACCAGGAAATAAAATCTACACCAATTAATAATGCTAAAACTGCATTAAACACCCTGTCCTAGGCAGAACCAATAACATCAAAAAGCACAGCCCATCATAGGAGAATGGAATCACGCATCATTTTGTATCTCAACAAACACTGGTCTGAGGGTCAGTCGTCTTTCTTTTCTCTCAGGGAAAACAAGGATCCATGTAAACAGTTACACCTTTAGGCAAGTAATAATCCTCTTTGTTGATCCTCTTCAATACCTATGGACAGCAGCATAAGAACAATTCACTCTCATTTTCTTATTATAGATTCAAAGATTTTTCTAGGAGACTATAACTGCACAACATCAATCTCAGGAGTCTGTGCCATGGACATTCCTAATATCCTTGTAATTCTTATTATGGCCCAATTTATCTAAACCATGTGCAGCCTTTCAGAGTCTACTTTTATAGTCCTTTCACACCATAAAATTATGAAACAGCACAAGAACTTCCAGTGAAAGAGTGATTCACCATTATTGTGGCTGAACTCTATTGACCTCTCTTTTCAGATAAATGTTTTGGAAACCAAACACTATTTTTTTTCTATGTGGCTGATTAGTTTATCACATTAACATATAGTTTAAGTGATTTGATGTATTACTGCTTAAAAGAAAACAATGAAACTTGATTTGTACTAATAGACTCTTACTTTTGGGGTCCAGGTTCCCGCAAAATGGAATTTAAGGGTAACTACTGGCATGAAACTTGCTTTGTGTGTGAGCACTGCCGACAGCCAATAGGAACGAAACCTTTGATTTCCAAAGAGAGTGGCAATTACTGCGTGCCGTGTTTTGAGAAGGAGTTTGCTCACTACTGCAGCTTTTGTAAGAAGGTAAATATCTATAGAGCATAAGCTTATGAAATCTTCCAAACCAGTGCTTTTTAGCTACATGATATATCTGTAATGAACTGATGCTATCATATTATAGCCATCTTTGCACACTCACGTTAGTATTGAATTCCAACAAGTTCAAAAGCACTACCTGTCACAGTGAGGAAGCCCATCTATTTTTACCACCATAAAATGCCACCCAGAACATGAATTTAATGTTCCAAAAGCTCAAGTGATTTGATATTCCAGTTCCATTCACTGCTATTTATGCAAGATTTCACGTATTCTGGTGAAGGACCCACATCTCTCTTTGAATACAAATATTTCTTAGAAAATTTTTGATCCATATAATTTCAGAGGGAGATGGATTTGTCTCACAGAGTGACTAAGGGAACCAATTTAAACAGGATATTTCACTCCTCACTTTATATCCAAGCACTGTAAATGTCTTCTTGGCTTGAAGCTTTTATATTTCTAGCAGTAGACAGATAAGAGAATGACACTCAAGAGTGACAAGATCATTAGGGAAACATTCATTAGACAGAAAGAAGGATAAGCATTGCAAGTGGTTTCCCTCGCCTCCAGTTGCAAAGCTTCACGTAGGGCCTTTTAACTTGGATACCCATTCAAGCATTTTTCCTACTGGAAACTTTTTTTCCTTTTTCAAGTAAACTTGGTACAATTCTTTTTTTATCCTCTAAGCTTTTATATGAAAAAGTCACTTATCTCTATCACCTTGATAACATGTCTGTAATTCATTAATATATTGATGTTCTCAAACAAATCCTTGACTGTGAGGTATCATAAGTTTCAAACACCCCTGTAAGTTGTGATCAGAAAGCCTGAATCATGGAAACATGGAAACTAATTCACTACAGTGGTTTCTGAACACTTTTGATCTACAGGCTACTCCAGCAGATCTCTTAAGACTATTTGTATATTTGTATCTGGACAGCTAGCATGTCATTACCACTTTCTACAAATTAACACACACAGTGAGTTTCTACATATATTTAAAATACTGATACTGCATTTGAGGAGGCATCGATAAACTCCTAAGTTACAATTATTAAATTACATGAAAGTTCAGTTCAGTCACTCAGTCATGTCTGACCCTTTGGGACCGCAGCACGCCAGGCTTCCCTGACCTTCACCAGCTCCCAGAGCTTGCTCAAACTCATGTCCGTCAAGTCAGTGATGCCATCCAACCATCTTATCCTCTGTCTTTCCCTTCTCTTCCTGCCCTCAATCTTTCAGGGTCTTTTCCAATGAGTCAGTTCATATCAGGTGGCCCAAGTATTGGAGCTTCAGCTTCACCATCAGTCCTTCCAATGAATATTCAGGACTGATTTCCTTTAGGATTGTGGTGGCTGAAAATTATAACTGAAAGTAACATGACATAAAACCATCTCAATCATGGAGACTTCCATTACTCTATCAGAAATACTGACTTAGAAAATGACTTTACAAGAAACAGACTCTATGAAACTGAGACAGATGAACATGAAGCTTTCAAAAGTATCAGTCAATGAAATGCATTTAGAAAGAGATGATGGAAATAAAATGGATAGATTGACCTGATTGTTTTGAGGGACAACTAAGTTGGCCATTTTTAGGCTGTGTTTCTTAAGGACTTAACACTAAAATGAAACTTACAGGAGTCACCTTAAAATCATTTGCTGGGCACACGATGCAAAGTTTCCTTCAATGCTATTCAAGATTCAAATATCTTCTCTAGTATATCAGAGCTGAGCACTGTCTGGGGCCAAAGCCCTGGTGTTTCCCAGGTTAGAGGAGCCTGCCCTATATTTAGGACATGATTTTAAGTCCCCAGAAATTTATGAAATGTTTGTATTGGGTAGTAGACAGATCATAACATGCCAGATTATTTTCTATTTAATTTTTTAAAACCACAAGTCCTTTAAGGAAAACTGGATATAAATGTTTCTAATCAAGATGATCCAAGCTGAAGAAAAACAATTTGTTTCAACCCAAGCCAAATACCAAATATAAAACAAAAGAAAATAAGCAAAAACTACTTGACAACCAGCCCATAGAATTTTTTCATAGATTTTATTTTGTGAAACTAACATGTATTTTCTACCAGAAAGCAAGTAACCTCAAACAAGTCTTTTAAATTCAGACTCCACAAGTTTCACATGTTCTAAAATTGATCAACTGAGTGCAAAATCATTGTTGCCTCCACTTTGCCAGAGAAGAAACTTGTTCTAAATCCTGGGATCAATCAGCCTCAAAAACCAGGCTTGGATATTAGACTTCATCTTAGCCTGTCTGCCTCTTCAAAAGAAATATAATCACAAACAAGCTATTTTTAATGTTCCAGAGTTTCTTCTCGCTGATGAAACAAACTTTAGTGTGTACATCAAGTTTCATTTTGCTGTGAATACAGTTTTCAAGTTTTGAATCTTTTAAGCCTTGCCTGCTAATCATTTGACCAAACAAATCAAAAGAATCCTGAATTCTGCTGTGCCTGTTGTAAGGCATTTGAAGTCAGTAGGGGGTATTTTAAATTGCTTTAGTTCACACACACCATTATGTTTCCCATTTACTTATTTAGAATAGTATATATATTTTTCTCATTTACAAAAAATAACTTTCTATCAAATATCTTTAATTATTAAGGTAGTCATTGGAAAAGTTTTAAATATCTTTGGGGTAATCTTTTCAAAAGCCTGGAGCATAGACAGCTATTTAATTTGTCACAATAGAACAGCTTAGAATAGACTTTTTCTTTATCTAGTTAATTTGCATACAAAGACTATGGCACCATCTCAGATATCACTTTGCTTCAGTCATTGGAAGACATTTCTATGACACTTGCCAGGTTACCCAGCCACCCCCAAGAGCTCAATAGCCATGGATTTGAAAGATGCTAGGACTTAAAAATTGCTACACAAGTTGTCTAATATTTTTCCATCTGATTTTTAAATAGAGATATCTCAGTCTTTTAAAAGGTAGAATCCATGGATTAAACTGGGTTAGAAAATATTTTACGGAGGAATAACAAGCATCTCTGCAAAACCCTAACACATCATACATTAAGGGTCAATGTACGGCACCGATGACTGGATCCTGGTGCCGAAAACTCACAGATGCCCACAGTCAGCCCATTTGTGCTAGGCACAATACTAGAATTGCTTTCCAAACATTTTTTCCCTTGGTGCTTCTTCATTCATTCAACAAAGATCTTTCAGTGGCTTATCAGCGCAAAGTAATCTCGTCTCAGTGCTACGGTCATTGTTGGGCACACAGACTGTGGAATCAGACTGCAGGTTTGAATTCTCACTCTGTGTCCCGAGCAAGAGACGTAACTGCTCTAACTCTCCGGAGTGATTCATCTCTAAAGAGGGAAGATACTGTGTCAGGATGTAGAGAATGTTAAGAACAGGTTAAGCGCACGACTGAAGACTTAAAAAACAGCTTAGAAATATTAGCCATTATTAGCAGATGATGCATGCCATGCCAAGTCCCTTTAGTCATGTCCAACTCTTTGCAACCCCATGCACTGTAGCCCACCAGCCTCCTCTGTCCATGGGATTCTCCAGGCAAGAATACTGGAGTGGGTTACCATTTCTTCCTCCAGGGGCTCTTCTCAACTCAGGGACTGAACCTGAGTCTCCTGGAGCTCCTGCACTGGCACATGGGTTCTTTACCACTAGCACCACCTGGGAATGGTGTTGAGCAAATCCTTTCAGGGATGCTACTGTTGCATAAAGCATTCAGGAAAAATTTGTTTTTTTTTTTAGGATTCTTAGAAGTTACATATGAACATAAGAACATAGCATAGAAAGTATCTTAAGTCTAATGGCAGATCTTTGAAGACCAACAAGAAAGAGGAAGATGAGCAAAGAAATAAAGGGCCTATACCTTTTTCATCTTCCTGAGCTCATCATGACCCTGCTTCTTTCCTATACCACTGTAGGAGAAAAATTAGGATAATTCTCATCAGTTCTATTTGATCGAGATAGCCTTTTGTTTTACTTCGGCTCCAAAAAATCACAGGAAAAAGACACCCTCTGACACAAGGTGATAGGGTAGCTCGAAGTACCACTTGTGGACAAAGAAGAGAATCACAAAAGACATTCCAGGGTCATCGCCGTTTTTGTGATCATTTGCCAGGTGATAACTTCAGGTGGGATAACGTTCCATGACCAGCCATGGCATAAGGAGTGTTTTCTGTGCAGCGGCTGTAGGAAAGAGCTCTGTGAGGAAGAGTTCATGTCCAGGGATGACTACCCATTCTGTCTGGACTGCTACAACCATCTGTACGCCAAAAAGTGTGCCTCCTGCACCAAGCCTATTACTGGTAAGTTTAACATGGTCCTAGCATGAAAAAGTACGGTTCTGAAAATGCTATACGGTTGATTTAGGAAATGTCATTTAAAAAAGGATGATCGTTCCTTTGTTTCCTTTTGAGACAAACATGAGTGCCTATATATCAATATGAATATTACACAGAACCCTCAAGGTAAGTATAGCGTATAATTAAGGCAGCTAGGCTCTGTCGAGGGTCATTAATACTAAACTTCATGGTACTGACTCTAAGTAAAGTAATCGTCTAGCAAAGAAGGAGAGTATTTTTTTTTTTAGGATTCTTAGAAGTTACATATGAACATAAGAACATAGCATAGAAAGTATCTTAAGTCTAATGGCAGATCTTTGAAGACCAACAAGAAAGAGGAAGATGAGCAAAGAAATAAAGGGCTTATACCTTTTTCATCTTCCTGAGCTCATCATGACCCTGCTTCTTTCCTATACCACTATAGGAGAAAAATTAGGATAATTCTCATCAGTTCTATTTGATCGAGATAGCCTTTTGTTTTACTTCGGCTCCAAAAAATCACAGGAAAAAGACACCCTCTGACACAAGGTGATAGGGTAGCTCGAAGTACCACTTGTGGACAAAGAAGAGAATCACAAAAGACATTCCAGGGTCATTGCCGTTTTTGTGATCATTTGCCAGGTGATAACTTCAGGTGGGATAACGTTCCATGACCAGCCATGGCATAAGGAGTGTTTTCTGTGCAGCGGCTGTAGGAAAGAGCTCTGTGAGGAAGAGTTCATGTCCAGGGATGACTACCCATTCTGTCTGGACTGCTACAACCATCTGTACGCCAAAAAGTGTGCCTCCTGCACCAAGCCTATTACTGGTAAGTTTAACATGGTCCTAGCATGAAAAAGTACGGTTCTGAAAATGCTATACGGTTGATTTAGGAAATGTCATTTAAAAAAGGATGATCGTTCCTTTGTTTCCTTTTGAGACAAACATGAGTGCCTATATATCAATATGAATATTACACAGAACCCTCAAGGTAAGTATAGCGTATAATTAAGGCAGCTAGGCTCTGTCGAGGGTCATTAATACTAAACTTCATGGTACTGACTCTAAGTAAAGTAATCGTCTAGCAAAGAAGGAGAGTACGATGAACAAAGAAGATTTTCACAAGGAGGCCTGAGCTGAGGTAGAACTTTAAGAAAGTGAGTGGGAGAAAAGGGATACTTATAAATCAAAATGCTGCTGGATTCTAACCCAAGAGTGAAGGGGCCTTAAAATAGAAAAAGTCTTAATTAAATACAAGTACTGTGCAAAAATCAGAAGTTATAATAATTGCGATAGCATAGGTGAGGAATTAATTAAACTTCAATTTAAGATGATTCTAGCAAATGTATTATTCTCTTTCATTCTGCTCCCTTACAGTAAGTTTTAATTATGAATAGATAAAACAAGATAGCATTCTGTTGAACAAAATGTGTGTGATATGATTTGAAAACAACATAAATGGTAAATCTATCTGTGCTAAATGAGTTTTCAAGGTAAAAAGCACGTTGTATCTTCCTCAGACGTTACTGCTGAAATGCTAATCCTGTCATAAGAGAACTGACCCTCTCATCCCTGAGAAAACCAATAGCTCTTCTTTTTTTCTCTCCTTGTTAAAAATGTATTTATTTTCAGTTGAAGGATAATTGCTTTACAGTATAGTGTTGGTTTCTTCTAAACATCAACATGAATCAGACATAGGAATACCTACATCCCCTCCCTCTTGAAGCTCCCTCCCACCTCCAGCCCCATCCCATCCCTCTAGGCTGTTATAGAGCCCCGATCTGAGTTTCCCGACTCATAGAGCAAATTCCCACTGGCTATCTATTTTATATATGGTAATGTACATCTCCATGTCATTCTCCCCATATGTCCCTTCTCTCCCTCCTTCCTCCGCTCCTGAATCCGTAAGTCTGTTCTCTGCATCTGTGCCTTCATTGCTGCCCTGCAAATAATTTCATCAGTACCACTTTCTAGATTCCATACACATGCATTAATATAGGATATTTGTTTTTTTCTTTCTGACTTACTTCACTCTATATAACAGACTCTAGGTTCATCCACCTCATTAGAACCGACTCAAATAAGTTCCCTTTTATGGCTGAGTAGTATTCCATTCCAATAGCTATTCTTTCAGGTATGGTCACCAAATAACATGGCAGAACTGTGTTTCTGTTCTCCATTCCTAGTACTCTTAGATCATATTTCACTTCTGGCTCAGTTTATGTAACATAGGATTATTACAGATTATTTTCTCCCTTTTTTCCTCCTCTATCTTCAGATATATCACAAGTAAAATTGAATATTTATTTATCCTCAAGTAAAGAGTTTTGCTGCAAGCCCAGCTTGATAGGCTTTCACTTTCTTGCAAGGGAGGAAGCTTCCTAGATAAGCAGAGCATGGTCTTGTTTCTCCATACAAGGCACCATACTTTTTAGAATCTCACACTGGCCCATGGGCTACATCTGGCCAGCAAGCATGTTTTGTTTGGCCTGCATAAGCTTGGAAACAACTAACGTAAAATCTCTCTCTTCAGCCAAAAAGTAAACGAAGAGCCTGCCCGGGGTGAGCGCACTGCGCTCACACTCCCGGCCAGGTCACTGTCGAGCGGCCGGCCCACTGTGGAGGGCGTGCCCCCTTCGTTCCTCCCACAGTCATTCAGCTATGTCACCTCTGCATTCCTTCCAGGGCCGTCCGCTGGCGATTTTAGAACATAGGGCTCCAAAGCTTGGGCTCTTAATCACTCTGCTCTCCTGCTTCTGCATATCTGGCAACTCCTGCAGCCAAGGGTAATACGCCTCCCTCTCTACTGGTGCTGGTTAGAAATGAAACTTCCAAAAATGTAACAGTAACTGGAGCTCCAAAAACTTAGTAGAATATGCAATCACAGCTTGATGGACTCAGACAATTTATTCTACGACACTTTTCTTGAATTGGCCAGAAAAAGGCGGGGTGGGGGTGGGTTGGAGGTGGATTTCCATGAAGAAATGAGAGATTTCAACAACTTAAAAATGTTTGAAAACTTTCCAGGGACTCAGATGGCTAGTATGGATCTTAAAGAGCCTATTCAAACTTTGAACTTGATGAGTTTCCATTCTGATGCATCACCACAGATGCATGTGTCTAAGTGATTTTTCTGATGGACGGCTGCAGGTCAATTACTGAACCCAACTTTTTAAAAATCATACAGAAAAACTACATTTTCCACACGAAACACAGGGATGATCAGGAACCAAAGATTTGTCCCAAAAGTAATCCAAATGCAGGATATATATTTAGAATAATCAGTCTGTTGATCATTATCTTAATCTTCTTTTGGCTCTGTGATTGAGACACACCAGAAACTAAATGCCTGCAAAAACTTCCAACTCACTTTAGTATGTCTTGATCTGATTTTTAAATATATATGGGCTTCCCAGGTAACTCAAATGGTAAACAATCTGCCTGCAATGTGAGAGACCTGAGGTCTATCCCTGGATCGGGAAGATCCCCTGCAGAAGGGCATGGCAGCCCACTCCAGTATTCTCGCCTAGAGAATCCCATGGACAGAGGAGCCTGGCAGGCTACAATCCATGGGGTCATAGAGTCAGACATGACTGAGCGACTAACACTTTTAAATATATATACACACACACATATATATATTCTCTGTAATAGTGCTTCTTTAGAGTTGAGCTATTTGAACTAATGCACCACAGGGAACTATACTATTAATACCATACATTTATCTTCTGAAAATTGTACATTCAGGCAAACAATATGTCATCCCCAGAAACTATGTTAGAATTGTTTTTAAAACATCATTTTAAATTAACTAGATCTATAAGGAACAAACTCAAGCTGTAACTACAATTTTTTTCTCCTCCTCTAAGATAGGATTTACCTTTCTAAGGGGATAATGAAGCAGTTTGACCTAGTGGGAACAGCACTGATTTAGGGAGTAAAAGACCATGGCCTTGTCTCTGCCCCTGATTACTGTGTGACTATAGGTATGCAACTCACCTCCAAGGTCCTCATTTGCCTTCTTTGAAAAATGAGGAATTAAATAAGATCACATCTTTGCTGTTTTCTATTTCTGTTTATTTTCAGTAAAGTGAGTTTCAAATGTTGACTTCTTCAGACAGGAATGCTAATATTTCTGGTTATGTTCTTTAAGAAAGAAAATTCAGACTTAACTTGGTGAAGTTGGAAGCACAAACTCTGAAACAGATGGCCCAGGATTGAATCCCAGATCTGCCACTTAGCAGCTGGGTGATTTGGCCAAGAGGCTAACCTCTCTGTTTGACAATTACTGTCTGCAAAGTCGGGTTGATGGTAATAACTACCCCATGGAGTGAGGTGAGAGCTGTATGAAGTAAAGGGCTTAGAATAGTGACTGATTCATCTTTAGGAGCTCAACAAAGGCCAGCTCTTATTTTACTGAATTTTCAGGAATAAATGAAACCAGATAAAACAGGTGTCAGAGTCCTATTTCCTGGTTGACTTTCTTATTGAAAATGACCCCTAAGATCTGAGGGAGTAAACACACCCAAAATCGAAACAATTTATAACCATCTCACATGTTAAGTCAAGACTTTCTTATATTTCTGCTATCAAATGCTTCCTTTTTATTCTTTTTTGTAAAATTCTAGAAGAATTATTTTTACATTTGCCCCCTGTACAAAGCTTAATAATAAAATCAAGAAAATTTCATGTGCATCAAAATGCTAGATGTGTAATAATTAAATTCACAAACAGAGGTGGTTTATGTATATATAGAACATTATTCTTGCAATCAGCTTATTAACATCTTGAATAATATTAAGGAGATTAATTGGTACATTATTGATTTACTCTCATTAGAAAGTAGTGATGGCATCATAAATAAACTATAATTTAATCAAGGAAAGTACAAGAATTTGATGATGTAAATGTATCCCTGAACTAGTAAATTATATGTGAAGACATCAAAAAACATTTCCAGGAAGGAAACAAAAGTTCATTATCATATCTAAGGAGAATTTACCTGAAATAAAATATTTATTCACCTTTTTTGCTTTACCATCCCAAATGGAATAGTTGGAAATTATATGTGAATCAGCACATGAACTATTTTAGCCTCACTAAAATAGTGTGATAAGCAAACCACAAGAATTTCATAGCACTAAGATCACTTGGAGAAAACCTGGCAAATGAAGATTCAAGTCTAGGGCATCCCAAACCCTTACCAGACCTTAGACCTTTTCTCCTTTTTTACAGCTCCTCAAAATCAGTTCCTTGAACTGTACCCTGGATTCATATTTGGGTAGAGAGAGAGAGTCTCATCAAAGACTCAAATTCTCATACCTTTTCTGATTAATAGAAATCCTATGGCTCAAGTAAGGCCCAAGTTGAAATGGGGGAGCTGATGTCATTGGGTAACATGGCTTCAGTGGCCACAGGAATCAGATTCACACATCTTTGTTGCAAGCCTACACTGCAGTCAACTCTGGGCAAGGTAGCAAGGTTATCACATGAGGCTAGCTAAGGACAGTTCGCATGAAATTCTCTATTGGAGGCTTTTGGAAATTGTGTTTCAAGCCACAATATGACCGTGGGACTTTGTCTTCAATAAAATTAAACATGGGAAAAGAGAGATGAGAACTAAAAGTCATTAAAATATCAGATACCAGGCTGGGAAGTATTCATTTATTTTACCTTAACTTTGCTTCAAAGTAAACAGGATCATGAGGAAGGAAAAAATATTCTTACTTAGATAAGTAAGTACTTACTTAGATAAGCAAGTAACCAAGTAACTTACTTAGATAAGTAAGGTAAGTAACTTACTTTGAAGTCTGACTTCAAAACATTCCTTCTTCTCATTGCACTACCCTATATTTCCTTATATCTTTTGGAAATTGCTCAGCCGTATAGGACTTTGCAACCCCATGGACTAATACAATCCATGGAATTCCCCAGGCCAGAATGCTGGAGTGGGTAGCCTTTCCCTTCTTCAGGGGATCTTCCCAACCCAGGGATCGAACCCAGGTCTCCTGCATCTCAGGCAGATTCCGAGGCACAAGGGAAGCCTTACGTCTTAGGCAATCAGGAACTGTCTCCAAAAATATGTGCTTTGTATGCCCAAATTCAACTTATGTAGATTATGGGACAAAATTGACTGGGTATCTGGCTGGATCTCAAAGGAAGAAACTGTGGGTGGCATTCCTGAATGGACACAGGCTATTGGGGGTGGCATCATTTCTTGGTACTTTCTTGATGTGGTCTTACTGTTTTATCTCCAGCTCCCAGAAGTGTACCTGATAGAATGCTCCATCTATTTGTTGAAAGAATAGATTACTCTTTTTCTCCAATTGCTTTACAGGTCTCAGAGGTGCCAAGTTTATCTGCTTTCAAGACCGCCAGTGGCACAGTGAATGCTTTAACTGTGGGAAGTGTTCGGTCTCCTTGGTGGGGGAAGGCTTCCTGACTCACAACAAGGAAATCTTCTGCCGCAAATGTGGCTCTGGGGTGGACACTGACATCTAGAAGGAGACAGTACCTCCCCACCGGAAATCCACCTTGCTTTTGTTCTCACTAAATCCAAAACTCAACTGACATTGCACTTCTGACTTAATTTTTAGAAAAAATTCTTATAGAGTTTATAGCACAAGTGTTTTTGCACACATTCTAATTGAACTATAAGGGCTCAGAAAAAGCACAGTCTAACAGAAATGAATATACTCTAAATCACAAAGACACCTTTCCTTGCAAAATACTGCACTCTGCTGTTAGAAAATATAGGAAAATATTTCTTTATTGTAATCTAATGTATAACCTATACCTACAAGTCATGGATTTTATTACTAAAAACTGATGTTTTTCAAAACTGCAGAGTAAGAAGGATATCAAGAGATCAAATTGAAATACAAATATATGAGACTAAGGTTTGCATTCCTCATCAGTTATACGTAACATGCTTAGCTGTGAATGGTAAAAAACAAAGATGGTCAGGGAAAACATCAGTAATCATCATATTTAGGTATTTTACCATTTTATCATTCTCTTATTGTTCACAAGTACTAACTTTGGAGTTGAAAAACAAAGCTACAATTTGCACTCATCCTCCCCGCTTCCACAACTAGTTGGTTACTATATTTAATCAAAGGAATTTGAGAATTCTGGGCACCTTGCCTCTCATTCTCTGCATAGATACAACGGTATGGTATCCTTTCCCCCCAGGGATAGTTGAAGCATAGGTTTCAACACATTTTGTGTTAAAAGCATTTCAAAGTCCACAATGAAACTTTTTTTCTAAATATTTTCATATTCCCTGAAAGAAAAGTCTATTCTTTCAAAAGAGCAAACCAGGATAATCATTGTCCGCAAAGGCAAACCTTTAAAGTAAACTGATCACTAAATCATCACTTGTGGAAATGAGTTTTAGGGAAGGGATTGTGTGTTGGAACATGACTTTCATCCAGATACCTAAGGGCATAATAGAATGCATAATTAGCTCTGAGCCTCATGCATTTTGCCTTCCAACATTTCACAGATGATTAATGAGAAGACACAGAAGTGAGTTTTAAAGAAATCTAGTAATAATAATAACCGAGGTAATTCAGGACCTGTGAAGAAGCACAATAGAGCAATAAGGTCTGTGAATGAGGCTTCCTCCACACCTGGGCTACCCACAGCACCGGGGCTGCTTACGTCACCCATGCTGCTTACGTCACGGTGCCTAGAGAGAGCTTCAGTCTCACACGGACTCCGAGGGGCACTCGCAACCTTCAGGAGACACTCTACAAATAAACCAGTGTGTTTACTGGTCACGGCCTTGATGAAAACCTATCACTATGTGTTTATTTTTATACCACACATCTATTGATGATGACCATAACTAGCGGCCCCTGGACAAGAATTTCTACATTATGCAGGATAAATGGAAATCAAACTCAGCTCTCGTTCATTACGACCCTTGGTTATAGCGTCACGGGTGCAGCAGACAGAGAGGTCAGGAGAGGAAATCCAGACTTGACACGACATTTTTATAAGTGTCTACTCCCATATTAGTGCATGAAAGGTTCGGACTGAAGTCTGATTACATGCTGTGGTTGACTACAATGGTTAAAGTAGCATCACAGAAGATTCAATTAAAATTGTTATGGAAACACAATTTTTGAAAAACTTTAAAATGCAAGAATATTTGGAAATGTTAGCAATTTAGAGATACAAATAAAAGTTCAGGCTTCATTGGCTATTTGAAAGATATAATTGTCCTTTTTTGGGTATTAACAATGCCAAGATATTTTCTCATATTAACATTTAAATGTAGGCAAAAATATCAATATTCTTCCTGCATTGTTTGAAATTGCACATGTAGAACTGAAAATGCCAGTTGTTCAATGCTTTAGAATATAATAACAGTGAACCATATATTTAGAAAGCCAAGCCATTCTGAATCTGTGTGGATATACAATATGTAATACTGTCTCAATTAATCAATTAGAAGTAAACATACAAAATGGTTTTTCTTCAACAATTGGTATCGCTTAGGCATTTTGCCGTGTGAGACTGGGGGGGTGTGAGTATGCACATGATCAGGAGTTTTTACTTAATTCACAGAATCATTTCCAAAACAGAGATTTTGTCATCCTTTGATAAGTATAGCTAAGTATATCATACCACTAAGCTACCTTCTAAATGTGGAATTATCTCTCTTTTTAGAAGACATTTCTTCCATATTTAGTGGGTAGCTTAGTCATCAAACACATATTAAACATGTACAATGCCCAGTTAGAGCTCAAGCTGCTATGCTTCTGCAGTGGTGGGGAGGTAGATCAGGGTATGGAAGCACTGGATGCCAGATGCAGAGAGCTCATAAAAAGCGCCACTATAGACAAAACACACACAGAGCAACAACTGAGAAAAGACACAATTAGACTGACACATAAAGATAAAAGCAAAAATCATACGTAATGTGTGATATGTGGTTTAGGTCAATAAAAAGAAAACCCCTGTGACTGACTTATCACAAGATGGAATGGACTGTCTCAGAAAACAGTGGGCTCCCAAGATTCAGGGCATGACATCTGCCCAAATAGGGAAGCAGTTAGAAACCAATCCTGTGTGCTGAGAACAACCCAATGGCTTGGAAGTAGCAGAGCAACTGGGCCCAAGAGGAGGAAGAAATGGGATTGCTAAAGAAAAGGGTCAGATGAAGGGAGAGTATGAACTCTTAGGATAAAAGGTTTACACTTAATAGAATAGGAAAGAGAAAGCTAGTTACTGTTCTTAAAGAGAGAAGAAAAACATGTAAAGAACATTGTGCTAAGCATTATGACAATGTGTAAAGAACATTGTGCTAATGATCGCATGTGGCCTAGAACTGAAGAGGGCAAGTTTCTGAAGGTGAAGATATCTCACCCCAGTAATTTGCATTGTTTGAAATTGCACATGTAGAACTGAAAATGCCAGTTGTTCAATGCTTTAGAATATAATAACAGTGAACCATATATTTAGAAAGCCAAGCCATTCTGAATCTGTGTGGATATACAATATGTAATACTGTCTCAATTAATCAATTAGAAGTAAACATACAAAATGGTTTTTCTTCAACAATTGGTATCGCTTAGGCATTTTGCCGTGTGAGACTGGGGGGGTGTGAGTATGCACATGATCAGGAGTTTTTACTTAATTCACAGAATCATTTCCAAAACAGAGATTTTGTCATCCTTTGATAAGTATAGCTAAGTATATCATACCACTAAGCTACCTTCTAAATGTGGAATTATCTCTCTTTTTAGAAGACATTTCTTCCATATTTAGTGGGTAGCTTAGTCATCAAACACATATTAAACATGTACAATGCCCAGTTAGAGCTCAAGCTGCTATGCTTCTGCGGTGGTGGGGAGGTAGATCAGGGTATGGAAGCACTGGATGCCAGATGCAGAGAGCTCATAAAAAGCGCCACTATAGACAAAACACACACAGAGCAACAACTGAGAAAAGACACAATTAGACTGACACATAAAGATAAAAGCAAAAATCATACGTAATGTGTGATATGTGGTTTAGGTCAATAAAAAGAAAACCCCTCTGACTGACTTATCACAAGATGGAATGGACTGTCTCAGAAAGCAGTGGGCTCCCAAGATTCAGGGCATGACATCTGCCCAAATAGGGAAGCAGTTAGAAACCAATCCTGTGTGCTGAGAACAACCCAATGGCTTGGAAGTAGCAGAGCAACTGGGCCCAAGAGGAGGAAGAAATGGGATTGCTAAAGAAAAGGGTCAGATGAAGGGAGAGTATGAACTCTTAGGATAAAAGGTTTACACTTAATAGAATAGGAAAGAGAAAGCTAGTTACTGTTCTTAAAGAGAGAAGAAAAACATGTAAAGAACATTGTGCTAAGCATTATGACAATGTGTAAAGAACATTGTGCTAATGATCGCATGTGGCCTAGAACTGAAGAGGGCAAGTTTCTGAAGGTGAAGATATCTCACCCCAGTAATACCTTTGATTAATGGCTGCAGAAGTGAAGAAGGGGGCAGCTATAGGCAATGCAAACCAACAGCTAGATTTGATGATATAGATGAGCGAACAAGTCAATGAATCAAATAATAAAGTATTTGATAATTGATAATTATCAAACATATTTGATAAATATTTAATAAAATAAAATAACTGCTGTCATGTTGTGGTTAGGGGTGAAAAAGGAAAATGCAGAAAGAATTTCTGCTTTCATCACAAGAGGAAGGGTGCCCAAGTCTTCTTTTTTCACTCAACAAAACCATAACACATTATACTGGAAAAATCTAGGGCCTACTGGTTAAGTGAAGTGTAATGGAGCTACAATCATGGGTTGAAAACTTACTTTAAAAAGAAAAGAAACATTAAATTGTACTTTGGAGGGAAAGATTGCTCAACCATGGTAAAAATGAATCACACTGCAAAAAAGACGTTGGTTAAATATCACTGCAAAATTTCGTCCTACAAATGAAAAGTTAACCTAAAAATGTATGTCCGTTGTTAGCATTAATAACATTTTTTAAGAAAAAATTACTTTTTAACCTACTTTTGGTATGTTGATAGCAATTCATGTTTTAAATAGGAAAAGATGGTTATAATATGCTTGAGGTGTATTTCACTGAGCACAGAAATTATTCTCAAATACAATCATAGATGTTCATTATTACAATAATATCATTTTTGCTTGTTTCATAAATTGATTTTCAAAATTTTCTTATGCTAAATAAGTTTTATAGTACATATTCTCAAACTGTATTTAGAGATTTATTTTTTAGATTAACTGTGCAGTAAGCAAGATAGATATGGAGTAACTTTATAGTGTTTATATGTCTATTACATAGTAGTCATGAATTTTATCTTCACTTTTACAACACCTAAATTAGCCATTTGTTCAAATATCATTTCAGAGTATTAAAACAGGAATGCTGCTGCTGCAGCATAATTCAATTCTGTCTGACCCAAACAGTAATATCTCCATATCTATGTTCTTACAATGATCAAATTTTAAAATATTCTAAACTAAGAATTATTTTAATTACTATATCTGTAATTCTAAACATATTCTATCAGAGATATCTCACTTCAGTTG